ATGTTGAACAGCGCCGGTCCCAGTACCGACCATTATCATTGCAATAATGATTGGTACAACTAACTGCAATGGGCAGGACTTCCCCCTGCTTAGTATCCTGCTCGCTCACAATTTTTGTGTTACTTTAGCTAGCAATAACATCTATTTCTAGTTTTGTATTTTGGACCTGATGCCTTTCTTCTTGTGATGCACAAAGGAACATTATTTTCTTTTATTAAATTTCAGTTGGCTGATGCTAAGAAAAAGGTAGATGATGACTTGGGAACCATTGAAGGCTTGGAGGAAAATAAGAAGAAACTATTGAAGGACATGGAGTCCTTAAGCCAGCGCCTGGAGGAGAAGGCAATGGCTTATGACAAACTGGAAAAGACAAAGAATCGCCTGCAGCAAGAGCTGGATGACTTGATGGTAGATCTAGATCATCAGCGCCAGATTGTTTCAAACTTGGAGAAAAAGCAGAAGAAGTTTGATCAGGTAGTCTAGTTTCCTGTCATCTTGCTGCTTTCTATGATTTTTCAAATGACATCTTGTTTATATTGGTACTGCATAAATGAGCCTTGTATGAAGAGGGATCTGGCTAGAGTACTGTGATTATTTGTAAATCTTTTGTGAGCAGTTGGCCTTTGTTAAGAGTAACTTGTCCTTATAATTTCAGTGAGCTAAATGCCAGCTTTGAGTCTTGTTAGATTGAGTAATAAGCTCTTTATATACAAAAAGGAAATTACATGGGAAGAATAACTTGAGAGTATTATTGTAAACCCTCAAGATAGGCTAAGAAAGTATGAGAAGACTGAAAGATGAAAATAATATAAAGCTTAATTTTTATTAGTAGCTTGCCTTCCTCATCTCATCCCAGAGTAGCTGTAGCTGTTTCCTTACTAGTACTTTGATCAAGATGGCGAGACCAGACAGCTTCTGAAGGCCAATTAAACTTAGAGCATTAACCACTTCATTGACTAAAACACCTGAGGCAGGAAGGACCTGATGATAGAAACTTATGAGATGTATTAATTATTTCTTATGTTCAGATGCTGGCAGAAGAAAAGAACATTTCTGCCAGATATGCAGAGGAAAGAGATCGTGCTGAAGCAGAAGCAAGGGAGAAGGAAACCAAAGCACTGTCTCTGGCTCGGGCTTTGGAAGAAGCCCTGGAAGCTAAGGAGGAATTTGAAAGACAGAACAAACAGTTGCGTGCAGATATGGAAGACTTAATGAGCTCTAAAGATGATGTGGGCAAAAATGTAAGTATGTTTCCACACCCTGTTTCGCTATATACTGCATGGGGAATAACACAGGAAAACTCCCTGGCTGGAGAAGTGTATTTGACACAAACCCAGAACTTTTTGAAGCTGATTTATAACTCAAAATTCTGGAGGAATTAATGCTTAGAATAAGGGGGTGGTCTTTATTAACATGAAGCTTCTTCAAAAGGAGAGCGTGAAGTTGCTCGCCAAATGACTAATGGCACCTGGCTAGATTTAAGAGCTTGTCTCACTCCTACATTACACAGCTCATCTCTCCAGCCATCTGTGTAGATGTTTGTTGGGTTCTCTGGTACAGACTCAGAGATGCTTCTCTGACTTTGCTGGTTCTTTGTCCAATTCAGGGCATCACCAAATGTCATGTACTGAGTTAATATAGTGTCTTATTTTGCTGCTGTTAATTGTTGATGTTGAGATGCCTGAAAGAGAGGGTCTGATTAATGGTTGTGGCTTAGGTCCATGAACTGGAGAAGTCAAAAAGAACTTTAGAGCAACAGGTTGAAGAGATGAGGACTCAGCTGGAGGAACTGGAAGATGAACTGCAGGCCACAGAAGATGCTAAGCTTCGTTTGGAGGTGAACATGCAAGCTATGAAAGCCCAATTTGAGAGGGATCTGCAAGCCAGAGATGAACAGAATGAAGAGAAAAAGAGGATGCTGGTTAAACAAGTATGTCTATTTTTTTGCTGTACTTCATAATGACAGGGCTGTGAAGATCTTTTGCCAAAGCTCTGTGGCTTCAGTGATAACTTGCTACCAGAAAAATAAAAAGATCCCATCCTATAGAAATCCCAAGCACTGGTTTTTACAAACAATACAGTAAGTCTTGTTGAGGCCCAGACACTGACAATTTTCATGTTAGTCTGCTACTGAGGATCCTCCAAGAACACTTAACACGTGAGCAGAAGTTTGGCTATTGCTGTGTATTTCAAGGACAGGGGTATGTTGCTCGGACTTTGAAGCCCATCTTACTTAACGTACAGGAACAAATCCATAGATGCCGAAATGGACTGTAATTAAGTGAACAGTTTCCTAATTGAAAATTGTGGCAAAGGTTCCAGATTTGCTAGAGTTGAGAATTCTAGTAACACAAAGCAGATCAGAAGAGACTCAAGAAATGCCTGTGAAATTTCATGCTTGTAAAAGATTATGGTTCTAAATTAACACTAAGCTTTGAGGAGAAAACACACACTATTTCTAGATTTATCACAAGAAAACAAAAAGGTACAATTACGGAGAATCACCAATACAGAGTTCCCTTAGAAATAAACATGGCCTGGAGAGCTTTTGTAGTTCACTGCAATGCAAAGTTGCTATTATCTTGCACTGGACAAGAGCTCTTGACCTACCATGAGGAGGGAGGCTGGATTCAAACCCAAATACATTCTTTCATGTTGGTAACCTGTGGCATTTCTGGCTCAGTTTTATTTTTACCTAAGTTTGACTTAGTTCTTGTTGACTTGCTGCTTAGATGCTGTTCTGTTTAGTTTTGAAAAAGTTGTTGGCATGTAAATGCCAGTAGCACAGCTGTTACAAAGGGAATTATTTCTTTTTTTTTCTTGAGAAAATGAGGCGATTCTACTTCTTATTTTCCTGTTATTGGTTCAATTAGAATTAGTGACATCTGCCCTAGCGTGACACCTAAATGTGGATAGATGTGCGGGGCAGGAAGCTGCCCACCAAGTAGCTGAACAGATGAAATGGAAATGCTGCAGAAGCAGAGTTATTGTCTTTGGTTTCCTTTTTTGTCAGTTTGGAGATCTCTCCTTCCAGTTTGTGGATTTGTTTTTACCGTCTGCAGTGTCTTCCCATGTAGCTTACAGTCTGTAGTTTTTTCCAATTGAGTAATGTTAATTCTGCTCCGCAAAGGCCTTTTGGATTCACTGACCGTTTTGTCAGGATTTTGTGGTTGCTCCATTCCTGGAACTGAGCCTGATAAACACCTCGATTTCACAGGTGCGAGAGCTGGAGGCAGAACTGGAAGATGAGCGCAAACAGAGGGCTCTTGCTGTGGCAGCCAAGAAGAAAATGGAGATGGATCTGAAAGACCTGGAAGGTCAGATAGAAGCTGCAAACAAGGCTCGAGATGAAGCAATCAAACAGCTACGTAAGCTCCAGGTAGGCACAGCTAATAACTGAGCTGCTTCTCTCCTGCCGACAGTCTGTCAAGGTGTTGCTTTTCATTAAATACATTGGTAGCTTGAAGGCAAAAGACTTGTGTTCAGTAGTCATCTTTTCCTCTATTTCAACGCTTTGCATTAGGACTTAAAGTCTTGCTTTTTAGGCTGCGTTATTAAAATATATGGCTATTTGTATCTTTGAATTTACTGATTTGATCTGAGCTCTTGCTGGCTGCTGCTTTCTCGTGTTGTTGAACTTTTTAAGGTGTTTTCAGCCAAAACCGCTCCAGAAAAAAAGTAAATTTTAGTTGCTTTTAAAAAGCTCCAAGGTGCCCATTCTTTGTAGTTTGGCAAGAAAAAAAAACAGTTCTTGTGTCAAGGATTTATTTCCCATTGCCAGAAAAATATTCAACATTTGGTACAGTTCAGTCTTGCCAAAAATTTCAGTGCCACGGCCCAAAGCTGCAGGAGTACGAGGCAAGACCGCATAAAGCATGTGGCACATCAAATTGCCTTTCTGCCCTGTCTGCTTTATTCTTTGGCAATCCTACTTCAAGTCAAACTTGTGCAGATCTAAGATCTCGGTCTGTGCTAACAGTGTTTCCTAAGGGAAGCAGAAGCGTGTACGAAATGGTGCGTTGTTACTTCCGCAGAGAATAGCTTCTTACCTTCCATACTTGTAATAAGTTTTGGGTTTAGTCAATTTAAGTAAATTTTTGCAAGTCTTTCCAAGAGCTTTACCTCTCCATAAGTTTCATGATAAATGTAATTGAGCAGCTCTTTATTAGAGTTTTTTCCTACAAGAAATATGAGATAAATTAGGTGAAATCTTATGATGTGATATTTCTGACAAGGAATTGAATGATGGAAAGGTGAGAAAATGAAGTTTTACTATGAAAATAAGAACTGAAAATGCATTTAAGTGGAACGAAGCCACTTTGGGAGGAAGGCCTTACCTCTGAAGGGCCAAAATGCTTCAGAGCTACTAATAAATCTCATGATTGTCCTAATGCAGCATGGCTTTTTCTTTCCCCTGCTTTCCAACTGCAGGCTCAAACGAAAGACTACCAGCGGGAGCTGGAAGAAGCTCGTGCATCCAGAGACGAGATCTTTGCGCAGTCCAAAGAGAGTGAAAAGAAGCTCAAAGGTCTCGAAGCAGAAATACTGCAGCTCCAAGAGGTAAGATTGAAATCCAAGAAATCTTGTTTTTCTTGCTGGAGTGAGGTGAAGAATGGAGAGTAAAAAGCAATCTAGTGAGTTGAACCAAGAAATGGGAGCCAGGAGAACTTTCTCTTCCCCTTGCCCCAGCTCATTGGTGAACTTCTTACAGCTTTGTAGGAATCATTCCTGTAGTCCAGGCTTCGTTTCTCTGCCTGCGTAGCAGGAAAGCTTTGCTACTGCTTTAACAGATTCGGGACCTCAATAAAATTTGCAAAGTGGTGTGAGAGTCTGTGAAAGGTGCAGTATCAGCACTAAGATTGGTTATTGGAAATATATGAAAACCTAACAATCTCTCCAGTACTGCAGTGGACTATTAAGTCTGTGAAGATTTATCACTCTGCCCTTTTAGGTCCTCATCCCTGTCTCTTACGGGCATGCGTTCCCTCGTTGTTGGCAATTTATGTAAGAGCTCTAAGGCTTGCTATGTATCACTTATGTCCCATTATCTCCTTGGCATGCCACAAGGTCAAACATCAGCAGAATTGCTTTGTGTGAGACACTGCCTCTTTTTGTCCTGTATCAGCTGTGGATCAAAGTTTGAAGCAATCGCTCAGATTTCACTACAGTTCTGTTTGGGCCTTTGCAGATAACCTGTGACTTAGTAGAGCGTCTCCATGTCATTCTTTTGTGGCCTTCAAACCTGTCAGTCTTCCACGTGCTGTGCATTTAACTGTCCTTCTTGGCAAATGCCTGGGTTTCTACCCCTTAATATGAGATTTGGTGCTGTTCCTGCTACTGTGCTTTATTTTCTATGCCTTGTTTGCATTCTTGCTATGTACTCTGTAAGAACCTTAAAAATTTGCTAATTTAGTGCCCACTTTACACTGCATGTGTTTATTAGAGCATGTGACGGAATGGTTTTATCCTGCTGTTTAGGGCTCGATTGTTACTGATCTTCACAGATTATTTTTTTCCCTTAACTTTGTGCAAGGAACCCCTCAGGGGCAGGGAGAAGCAAATCCATTGTAGTCATATGACAGTTAATGGGGGGAAAATATCAAAATGATGTGTCCTGCTAGCTTCTACAGCTGTTGCTTCTGCTTCTCTCTCTCTCCATTAAAAGACCTCAGGGATATCACACTTCTAATAACTTCTAGGAGATGCTGTGAAGGCTAAATCGTTTGCAGAAGTTTTGAGATTTCTAATGCTGTGATGAATCTTTTCCTAAACCTTCGCAGGAGTTTGCTGCGTCTGAAAGAGCCCGTCGTCATGCTGAGCAAGAAAGGGATGAATTGGCTGATGAGATTGCAAACAGTGCTTCGGGAAAGTGAGTCATCAAATGTATTAATTACATCTGAGGAACTCCAGGCACCCGCAGCTGTAATGCTCGGTAGTCTACTTGCAAATGAATTCTGTATTGGCCTGTCTGCATGATAAAAAAAATTCCTTGTTGGTACGAAGAGAGTTGCTGACACAGTAGCTTCTTGTGACAATTGGCAGTGCCTAAAGTATCAGAAGCGAACTAGCCGGTTGCTTTGTATCGGATCTGAACGTGTCTTGACCCAAATAATTCTTTTCTAGGTCAGCGCTGCTGGATGAGAAGCGCCGGCTGGAAGCTCGTATTGCACAGTTGGAGGAAGAGCTCGAGGAAGAGCAGAGCAACATGGAGCTTCTCAACGAGCGGTTCCGAAAGACCACGCTGCAGGTGAATCTGTTGTTGGCGGTGCTGTTGGGGCAGTTTGTGTTTCTGTGTGCAGTTAAGTGGAGGCTCTGAATAGCACCAAATGACCTTCTATTCTTCTACTCTCAAAGGTTGACACACTTAATTCTGAGCTAGCTGGGGAGCGAAGTGCTGCCCAGAAGAGTGAAAATGCCCGGCAGCAGCTGGAAAGGCAGAACAAAGAGCTGAAAGCCAAGCTGCAGGAACTGGAGGGATCTGTGAAGTCGAAGTTCAAGGCAACAATTTCTACCCTAGAAGCCAAGATTGTGCAGCTAGAAGAACAGCTTGAGCAGGAAGCCAAGTAAGGAAAAAAGTCTGTTTGCCTGTTTGCTCTGTCAGTTGAGTGTCTGAAATCTCCACACCTTACGTTTTTGTAGGGCTGAGATGAGAGCTCGCAGCACAGGCTTTGGGGTTGTTACCTGGAAAGGGACACACTTGAATGAGACAGCTGTAAAGTGACTGGGGTGGAAAGTTTCAGAATCTATTTGCTCTGTAACTGAAGCTGCTGAATTACTCACCTGGGAAACCTCAAGAGTTATGTTGACTGCTGGTCCCAGATCCACAAGGTGCTGCAGAAGTTTCTTGAGACAAGATGAGACTGAGACATCCCCTTGAGACACCTTGGTTAGAGGAAGCAAGCGGAACAGCTCGGGTGTGACAGCTTTAGTTAGTTGGGATGAATTCTGTGCTCTGCAGAAGTCCGCTTTGTCCAGTGAGCGCTTCCTGCCTGTCCTTCCTATCTCAGTCCTCCAAATATTTTTTTTAATGTGTGCTTTTGGCTCTGTGAAAGGACCATTTACAGGGTAGCAATAACTTTACTATCTCAAACTATACTATCTGTAACTTTACTATCTGTGTCCCAGCCAGCCTCCAGCACATTAAAACCAAGTTCTGTTGATGGTGGCAGGTAGGTTAAGAAGACTCAAGTATCGGTTACACAGTAGGACAAGAGTCTTTTGGAAAGGACAGAGCTTGTGTTCCTGGCCTTCAGGTCCTGGGACAAATGAGGCTTTTTGATTATTCTAGGGAGAGAGCAGCTGCTAACAAATTGGTGCGTCGTACAGAGAAGAAATTGAAAGAAGTCTTCATGCAGGTGGAGGATGAACGTCGACATGCAGACCAGTACAAGGAGCAGGTATGTGGAGGGGCTTTGCTTTTGAGGCCTGTTTCTCAGAAAAGGTGGATAAAACCATACTTTGAGTAGAAAGGGCTTGCTAAGAGTCATTTTAATGAAAACATTTGAGTGAACCCCCATCGTGATCACTAAGCCACTAGAGTGGCTCCCAGCAGGCAAAACCTCCCTGTGTTGCTCTACTGTGACAGTCCGTTGTGTAACCAGGAGACCATGCTGGAGTCTGAGTGTGGCCGGCGGGTCATCTCCAGCCGGGGAGCTTGTGGGGCACAGGGTGTTAGCTGACTCTCTGACCCCCCAAACCCTGGGGCTGCGGCTGCCCAGTTTGATCCTGATGACCTGATGTTGTATTTTAGATGGAAAAGGCAAACGCCAGGATGAAGCAGCTCAAGCGCCAGCTGGAGGAGGCTGAAGAAGAAGCCACACGTGCAAATGCTTCCCGACGTAAGCTTCAGCGTGAGCTGGATGATGCCACAGAGGCTAACGAGGGCCTGAGCCGGGAGGTCAGCACTCTGAAAAACAGGCTAAGGTGAGTGGTGCCAGTAGCAGTGGGCAGGGTTTATCTGAGCCCGTGTGCCCGCAGACTTCAGGGAGCGTCCAGCCACGGCACTGCAGAAGCAGAGCTGCTCACGTTAGGGAGTGGGTCGAACTGGAGCCTGCTGGGAACTGCTGACTGAGCCTGGTGGTGACAACAGGGAGCTGCCAGGCCACAGGGATGTTCCTGACAGCCCCTGAGCCTGAACTCTTCAGTGCTCGCACTGGCTGGTTCCTTGGGGCTGCCAGTTTGATCCAGCTGTCGGTAAATGTGATGGAGGAGATGGCTCAGTTGTGCTTTTCCAGTGGCTGGTAGATCCCTGTTTTCCTGACCCGCCCTGGTGGGAGCATTCCAGCACTTCCCTTGGGAGTGGGACTTTGAGACCAAGGTCTGTGCCCAGTACAGGTGGGAGTCAGCAGCGATGAAGCTGCTGCAGAACAAAAACCTTCTCAAGAGGGAGAGCAGCTGAGCTGGCTTGTGGGAACAGCTGGAGGGGGGGCATGCAGTGCTTAAGAGATAAGTAGTTGATTATTTTAGAGAACGCACTTGTTTTAGTACTTTGGTCTGTGCTTGGTGCTCAGACAGAGTGTTTTAAGTTACTTGAGACTTCCCAGACTGGGGTGATGGTATAAACTAAGCAGGAATACCAGAGTACTGGAGTGTGTTTGCCCACAGTGCATTGATCCCTTGGTCACAGAGAGTTTCAAAACACCACGTATGAAACTTGCCCTGTGGGTGGCCCAGAGCTGAGCCCCAACGTCCCCTGCGGTCACGGGGAGGTGTGTGTGGGCAGCCACCAGCCCTGGAACTTGGGCTGTGAGACATGACCCATCAGCAGTTGCTGTCATCTGCTTGTTGGCAGGAGGGGGGGGCCCATCACCTTCTCCTCGAGTCGCTCTGGGAGACGCCAGCTGCACATCGAAGGGGCTTCTCTGGAGCTCTCGGATGACGACGCGGAGAGCAAAGGCAGCGACGTGAACGAAGCGCAGCCGGCCCCTGCCGAGTAGAGCCCCGTCACACCGCTTGCATGCAGAGACCTTTGATGCAGCAGTCGGCAGGAGGAGGAGGACTTTCCTATCCACCGAACTGCCTTGTGGCCGTAAATCTGCCTTACAAAACGTCGGCATGCTACAAGGTTACTTATCATAGGTCAACTATGTCTTAAGGCTCTCCAGCCTCACCATACTGTACCCTGCTTCAGATATAGGTACAACCGCTTTTTTATATATAGTAAACAAAACGGGATCGTCTCTGTTCAGTGCATCTATTTTCCAGATACTCCATTGTAAAGCCATTTTATAAAGCATCATGTGAAGGATGAAACTTTTTTTATCGATACAGAAACTTCATTCCCAGAGGGTAGGTGGTCGGGACAGACCCCTTGTCATGACTATGCATGCTTTGTTGTACGACAACATCCTTCCATTTCTTCTGCGCTCAGACGGCCCTTGGCTGTATTGAGTCTGTTGGATCATTGAAGACCAAACTGCACCTGTACCTTTCTTTTCTCCTAATTGTTGTGATCAGCACACAATCAGCGAGTGAACTGTGAAAAGGCCTTGGGAAGTGTTAGAGGGAAATGTAGGGATGAACAAGTAGTGTCCATTTTTAACCCGCAATATCATTTTGAAGTGTTCTCAGCACCTGCTTCATCAGTTAGTGTTCCTGCAGTACAGGCAAACTGAAATAGCCTCACCGCTCCTCATCTGTACAGTACTTCCGCATTTGTAGACACCTGCTATGACCATGCCCAACAGATCTGTATATATATTAAGGCTAGTATAATGTGAACACCAGTGGAAAATACACATACAACACAGGCAAAATTAATTTATTAATTTATGGCTGAGCTAGGTAAGTCTTCAGGACATGGAGCCGAGCGGCTGCACTGTGAGATGAGGCTGAGGGTACCTCAGCAGCCGGCCTGGTGTTACTGGGGGAGCCGGTCCGCTGGCAGCGGGGTCGCCTGTACTGCGGGGTGTGGGGCTCGGGGAGCCTGCGGGCACAGGGGTTCAGCGATGCTGTTGCCTGCCTATGAGTTAACATGCCAGTGGATGTGAATCCTTTTTGTTGTTGGTTTTGTTTTTTTTATTTTGAACAGTATTACAGCGAGTAGTTAGTGTTCTTTTTGTTTAAATAGCTGAAAAACTGACATTACAGAAAGTGCCTTAGACACTACAGTACTAAGACAATGTTACATATATAATTTGCCTATATAACAATGATTTAATGTATTAATTTTGACTGTGCTTCATATCATGTACCTCTCTAGTCCAAGTGGTATTACTGATATTAGTGACAATGAATCAGTGTTAACTAGGAAACTTCCTCTGCCACATGCTCAAAAAAACATGGATTTCCTTTTTTTGGTTAAAAGCTTTAACATCTGTCGCAAAGGTTTTGTTGTGTGTGTTTGGATATTTTTAATCAAACTGGCTGTTGACCACCAGGCATCTGACTGCAAATATCTTGTTTTCTTGTATACCCATATTTCTAGACAATGATTTTTGTAAGACAATAAATTTATTCATTATAGATGCGGCCGCCTGCTCTGTTTACTTACCGGAAGAGCTATCTCCTGAGGCTGGCATAGACCTTAATAAACAAGAATATGACTGGAAGCTGCCTTTTCCCTTCTTCCTGTTCTGTTTCATTGGGGTTGTTTTTTCCTTTTATTTTGTGGACCTGACCACGCTGGGAGGGGAGGTGACAGGAGTGAGGAAGATTAGGGGAAAGAGAGGGTGCAGCAGGCTGTGGTGGCTGGGGGGCAGCTGGAAGGTCCACTCCAGGCAGCTGGAACATGCAGGGTGGGAGCTGCCCTCAACAACCTTCTGGCCTAGTGCTGCTTCCTGCTGCCTGTCCTGGGCCCTGAGGGGAACCAGCTCCTGCAACCTGGCTCAGCCCTGGGCACCTTTTCCTCAAGTGCCTCTGTTAAGGCTGTGGGTGCTGGGAGGAGCACAGGCAATGAAGGGCCTTTCCCTGTCCATGTAACTGTGTGAGAACAGGTCCCTCCTACCTGGGGTGACCCTGCTGCCCCATGGTACTGCACCCCAGGAGAGGGAGCTGGTCTGGGGATGCATGGCCTCCCCTGGTGTGGGCAGGGATTGGGGCTCAGGAAGGAGCAGGGCCCAGGGTGTTCTGTGGTGAGGAGGAGGAAAGCCTGGGGCCCTGACACCACAGCCCAGCCTGGGGGGGGGGTGCTGGAACAGCCCCTGGGTCGGCTCTTGGGTGTCTGGGCTGGCGCTAAGCCTGGGGGCCTGTGAGTGGCAGCACCCACTCAGGGGTCAGGCTGGGGAAGCTGCAGGTGCTGCAGGGCAGAGCTGGGAGCAGCACAGACTCAGGGGGTGGGGGGGGGCCCTGGGGCTGCCACAGCCCTCAGCCCACCTGGCAGAGGGGATGGTGCACACTGGGGAAGGGCCAGAGCCCCCTGGCTCTGCAGAAGAAATGCCTCTGAGGTGGTAAAAATCCGCAGTGCTGCAGCTGGAGGCCTCCAATGTTTCCCCAGGCTCTTCCCAAAATCAAATCTTGAAACCCAGGACTCAGCTGAGCCATGAGGACTTTCAGTGCCAGTAGCTGCAGCTGAGAAAAGGTGTTTGCTCAGCACATTCCAGCTGTGGCTGTTCCCCTCTGTGCACAAATCAAACTGCAAAGCAAAGAGGAGCAGCTCCAACCCTGCCCTGGGGCTTGGCAGAAAACACTACAGGACAAAATACAGCCACTGCCACCATTTCTGCAAAATCCACTGATTCCACATTAAAAGAACTTTATTTTTGGAGGATTACTCTCATTTGTTTCTGTGTTTTTTGGGTTTTGTTTTTTTTTTAAACCACATCATGATGTGTGTCACCACAGCAGTATGGTACACTGTCCTATTGAAACATGCCATATAGATTTTGAATAAATAAAGCTACAAAGCCCAAGTTATGTACAAAGATCTTAGGCAAAGATATTATGTTTACAAATCTATGTACAATAAAACAAATGTAAACAGTCAAATGCAGCAGAGGATGCACAGGAAAGAAGGACCATCCAAACCCCAACAGCAAGGGGGTGCTGCCCACCTCCCTTCTGCTGGGGCCAATGGTTTGTCTCAGCGCTTGTAAATAAACCAACTGGGAGCTGCAGAGCCAACTGAACGTGATGGACCAGGAATGACGATTTCTAAACCCACAGCTCAAACCCCGGCTGGGTTTGCTGGTCTGTTTTAAAATCCACCGACTCTGAGGCACATAGAGAAATCGCACAAAGACATTGCTTGAAAGACCCACAAGGTACGGAGTCACCCAAACTGTCACAGAAGCCCACAGGTGATGCTGTGAAATCGTCATATATTACACAGATGGGAGCAGGGTGCAATGGCTACAGGGTCCTGGGAGGGGAGCTCACAGACAGTGCCACCAGTTCGATTAGCAGCTTCCTAATGCTTCTGCAGAACCCTGTTGTGGAGAGGTGGGGCAGTAAGTCAGATGAAGAACAGGTACAGTTGGGCTGGGAAGCTGTGCTATGGGCACCATGAGCGTGCTACCACAGCTAAATGTGTCACTGCCCCTCGGCTGCACGGGTGCAGGAGCGCAAGGGAGAATGCCTGGGCACTGCTCAGCCCTGCCAGCTCACACTAATGCAGGTGATGATGTGACTGATGGGTATGACCCTCACTCCTGCCCCCCACCCCTCCCTGCCCCGGGCCCCAAGGAGCCAGGCAGGAGCCTCCTGAGCCCTACACCCCCCCGGCCCCCGCCTGCCCCAGCACCAGGCAGGAGCAGACACCCACCTGCCCCGTGTCGCTCACTGAGCTGCAGTAACCGAGTGACACACCTGGAGCTGGTGCCCAGGCAGCGATGGCCCAAGTGCTGCTGCCCCTGGAGCCTCTGCCAAGAGGTCTGAGCCCCCCCCACCGCGAGGGCAGCAGCTACCTGTCCTAAGCACAGGATGCTGGAGCAGGCAGAGAGAAGGGGAGTCTTAATTGTTTCATGCCAAAACTAAGTTAGAGATAACATGAGGGGCCGAGGGCTGCCTGGCTGAGGTTTGGTGAGCACGACTCGTGCCTCCCCTGGAACAGAGCACAGCCTGTCTCAGCTTGCACAGCAGATGGAGCTGACACAACGTCTGCTATAGCAACACGAGAAAATAAACTGTATTAACATGACGTGAAGGGCCACAAGCGCAGGGTCTCCTCTAACAGCACGGTGTGGGTCGTGTTCCAGCAGGGCAGAAACAGGGAGGAATCGGGAGCAGTTCTTGTGGTAGGCTGAGAAAAGCATCTGCAAGTCCACACATGACCTCCCGTGGGCTCATACGCTCAAGGGGAGCATGCCAGGTGCTGAGGAGGGTCGAGAGGCTCCCAGTCCAGGGGGACCTTGATCAAAGCCGTTTACTGCCCTGAGAAGCAACAAGAGACAGCAGTTAAGTGATCAGCAGCCCCAGGGGATGGCACTGCTGCCCCCCCATCCCCAGCAGCTGGAAGACAGACCCCTCTCCCCCTTCCTCACAGCATCTGTCACCCTGACTGCTCCATGGCTGCGGGGCCAACCTACGACCGCAACAGGCTTCCACCTCCAGCTGGGAGGAGCAGCGCTCACCCAGAGCTGGGGACACATGTAGGTGGGTGCTCAAACCATTGCCCAGAGCAGGCACATGCCAGCTGAGGTGACCAGCCCCAGAGGACAAGTGGCTCCAGCACAAACCCTGAGCCTGCTGGGGCTGCAAGTCCCAATCAAGTCCAAGCAGCTGAAGGCACCAGGCACAGCAGCTCTGTAGGCTTGGTCCCCTTGATCAGCTCCCCGTCCCTCTTAATCGCTGCCTGTTTGCACAGGAGCGGCTGTGAGCAACGTGCAGCCCCAAGGGCTGTGCAAGCAGCGCAGCGGCGAGGGGTCGGCAGCAGGGCTGGGGCCAACTCCACCAGCATCCAATTCTTGGGTGGCTCTCTGCAAGCTCTGCCCAGTAACCGGGATGGACACACGCATGGCCATGGCTCATGGGCTCTGCAAGAGCAGGCAGGAAGATGTTAAAGCACAGCAGAGTTGCTGGACGCTATGCTACCCCTGGCTGGGGTGCAGCAGGAGCTCTGGGTGCCTTCACACCCCCAGGATCCATGGGTTCCCTCCTTCCCCCGGCTGCTGGGAGAGGTGAAGGTGTGGAGACCTTGGCTTCCTGGTGGGTTGGGAGAGGAGCACATGGGTCTGACAGCTTTTCCATCGTTACTCTGTTAGGCTTTGACAGATTTTCTGTAATTAGGCTCACCACACAGCGCCTGCTCACCATCTGCTGATCCCCACCACCACCACAGCCTTGACAACCAGAAGCGATTACATCCTTGTATGAGGACAGCACGT